AACGCCATGGTATTCCGCAAGAACCCTGTGGATATCCTAAGGGATATGCTACGGGTGTTCGTAAGATTCCTATGGTTTTCCCCAGAAATCCCATGCATATCCTAAGGAATGTGATTGTGTGCTCGTGAATGCTTTAGATTTCCATGTGAATCCGATTACTGCCCTAAGAAGTCCGAGGGATGTCCTGAGGCACCTCCTAAAGATCAACAGATTTCCTCAATATTCCTATGGATATACGAAGGAACCCTAAGGATGTCCATCGAATTCTTATGGGTGTCCTAAGGAAGCCTATAAATGTCCTGAGGATTCCCATGGACTTCCTCCAGAATCCGATGGATAATCATACGGAACCATATTGACGCTTGAAGTATTACTATCACCGGTAATGATCATTTTGATCAACATCATCGTCATCATTTTAAAGATCTCCAGGAATACGTTTATTATCCCCACTGGACCCCGAACTTTCTTATCCCCAGGGGTTTATTATCGGGAGCTCAGGGTTATTATGTCTCCTCTTATTGATTGTATTATTATTCGTATTACTAATACTCATGTTATTACTCCGTTTGTTATGATTATTTCTCCTCCTCCTCCTCCTCCGCCGCCGCCGCCGCCGGCCGCCTCCGCCTCCGCCTCCGCCACCTCTTCCTGCTCCTCTCGGGGAGACGTAAGACCCGGGTACGGGGGACTCGGAAATCCCCGACGAGGTCGTCAAAAAAATGACGAGGCCGAGCCTGCATTTTGACGAGGCCTCCCGCTGCAGACATCCCACAAAACTCCTCCTCGTCAAAATCCGAGTCGCGGTCGTCAAAAAAAAATGGCGAACCCGAGTCCTGGCAAACCCGGGTCTTACGCTCCCCCGATCCTCCTCCTGTTCCTCCTCATCCTCCTCCTCCGCCTGCTCCTCCTCCGCGAGGCGCTGGCTTCAGCACCCCAAGGGGGAGACGGCAGGGAGCAGATTGCGAGGATGCCTCGAGCGAGGCGCTGGCCTCAACACCCAAAGAAGGAGCCGCCGAGGAGCAGACTCTCTGGCTGTCTCGAGGGAGGTGCTGGAAGAAGGAGAGCGCAGGAGGAGGGAGAAGGGAGGAAGGAGAAAGAGAAGGGAAGGGGACAGGACAAGGAGCATGGTGAAGAGAGGGTGAGGGGCCTGCCCACCGCGTGTCTGTTTATGAGCTGTCGTAGTCGTCGTCGTCGCGGTCGTTGTCCATGATCGTAGCCGCCGCCATCGTCGTACCGGTCGTCCAATTGGACTCGAGTTCAGGCCCAGACACGCACAGCCAGGCACTCACACGGCGGGACGTGACAGAAAATGAGGTGCACCTGCGTAGGGGGATCCCTGCGTCAGGCAGTTTTCGCCGTGGTCGTGGTTCGCCCCTCCTCCGACGCACTACGCCTACCCCGGGCCTTAGCCCCAGCCCCCTCGCTTCCCCATCGTGCACGAGCCAAGGCACGCGCGTGACTTGCTCTGCTTGAGAGCCTGCCCGCCCGCTTTCAATGCGCCGCCCGCCCAGCCCCTGCCCGTCCGGGCGATCCACTGCTCGAAAGCCCGCCCAGCCCGCTCTTCACATCCGCCCCGCCCGACCCGCCCACTCGGCAGAGTCCGGCCGCCCACCCGACCCGCCCGTCAGGGCCCGTCTGACCGATCTTCTTGACTACCTACCAGACCACCCCAACCCAACCCGAAGACCCGAATTTCGGGTTGGGGGGGGTATGGGATCCATGCGTGTTTTTTCGATGTTCCCGGACCCCCCCCACTAGAAATCGAGGGTAAATCTGAGCCTTCGGGTTGGGTTGGGGTGGTTTGGTGGGTGGTGACTTCTCTGTACGGCCAACCCGCATGATAAGGACGCACGGTAAGGGTGCAAGGGCCTTGGAAGGCCATGTCGACACTTTGCGGACGGGGCGCGGCCAGCGAGAGCGGCCAAGGATGGGCCGAAGGGGAAGGACGCAAGGTAACCTCGGAAGGCTTGACTGTGCGGGTTGACTGTAGAGTCCGCTCGCCCGACCTTGTCCTGCGTACGCCCCCTGAGATCCTTCAACTCAGCGATCTGGCCCCTGAGCGTCTCCATGGCGACTGGGGAGGCGAGGATTACCGAACTGATGGATTTCGGTATGCCAGGACACCGAAAGCCATCAGTTCGGCAATCCTCGCTCGCCTCCCCAGTCGCCATCGAGACGCTCAGGCGCCGGATCGCTGAGCTGAAGGATCTCAGGGCTCTGAGGGCTCTGATAAGGCGGCCCAGTCGACGGTCCTGGCGCGCAGGCCGAGGGGGCCCGCCTCACGTCCGCGCCAGAGGAGGAGGAGGAGGAGGAGGAGGAGGAGGAGGAGGAGGAGGAGGAGGAGGAGGAGGAGGAGGCGTCCTTGGGGTCCTGCCACTCGGGCGTGACTTCTCCGCCCGCTCCGTGCGGTCGGCCGCCTGCCGGTACTGGGCGCCGGATGCCCGAGTGGCATCTGCTCGTGGGGCCCGAGGGGGCCGCTGCGGACTGCCTGCCCCGCGGTGGCCCCCTGGCGGCGCGCAGGTGGCTGGGTCGCCTGGGCTTCCGGGCGTTTGGCGCCCGCGTCCGAGAACGTGGCGAGGAAGAGCATGCGCCGTGCCCGAGCGGGGAACGGAAGCGCAACGTGCTGAAGAGTCTGGCCGTATCGTTACGCTGTGTCGAGCGCGGCCCAACTTCCAGCAGAACTGGCGATCGAGAAGCATGCGCCGCGCCCAGCCAGAGCGCAACCGTCAGGAACACAGCACTCTTGGTTTCTGAATAAGCGTGGGGGGGGACCCCCCCCCACGGGGGTCAACCTCGCCTCGTCGTCGCGCCGCGACGGGGATCGACGTGGGGCTGTCGGCGGGGGTGACGGCCCCCCGACGCTTATTGAGAAACTCGGAATAGGGGGACAGGCTTCTTAGAAGGAGGCGCTGCTTCTTATAAGGCGCGGGCATTACGTACATCTACGGAAAAGGCCCGCGCCTTCTGAGAAGCCTTCCCCCCTACCCCTGCCCCCTCTGCGCGTGGCCGAAATTCTCTGTGGAGGCACCCTGCGCTCTCCACTTCACCGTGGCTCCCTCGCCAGTCCTGCCACCGGCGGAGTCGCTGGAGCTTCGCGTCATCCTCCGCATCCTCCTCTTCCTCCTGTCCTGCCGCTCGGCTTGCCCCCGCTCGGACGCCCCTTCCCCACGCATCCGTCGGCCTCGTGCGTCCATCTCTGTTCTGCTGTCCACCAGATGATCCAGGCTGCTCCCCGATGGTCCTCACCGAGACGCAGGGCACACGCCCGAACGATGCCAGGTCGGGAAGCCCGGAGCACGCGACACCCTTCGTCGGAGAGCGCAGTAGTCTAGTCCTACGGTGAACGACCATAGCCTGCTTCACCTCAATGCGAATATGACATGGCAACCACACATCGGGGGCGGCCGAGAGGGGGGCGTCCAAGAGGGGGGGTCGCAAATCATGGCCAGGGGCATGTGCGCGGCCCAGGGGGGAGGACCGGGGACGCGTTGAAATAAGAAGAGGCGCCACGAAATCTGGGGAGATCTCATGGCCCCCGCCATGGTATCCACCCCCCCCATCTGGTCATAGAGGCCTCCTAGATGGGGTCGCAGTAGATGGGGTCGGCGGATCGAGCCGCATCGCCGATACATCGGCGATGCATCGGCGATGCATCGGCGACGCATCGGCGACGTCGGCGTGAAGCAAGTCGGGCTCCACATCGAGCCGCATCGCCGATGCATCGGCGATGCGGCGCGATCCTCCGACCCCATCTACTCGGACCCCATCTAGGAGGCCTAGAGGTCATCACCCCCCTCTTGGCCCGCCCCCGAAACCACGTGGGCGCCTCAACCGCTGCCGTGCGCCAGGAGAGGAGGAGGAGGAGAGAACGAGAAGGGAGGAGGAGGAGGAGGAGGAGAGGAGGAGGAGGGAGGAGGAGGAGGAGGAGGAGAAGGGAGGAGGAGAGAGGAGGAGATGAGGAGGAGAGGAGGAGGAGGAGGAGGAGGAGGAGGAGTAGGAGGAGGAGGTCGGGGGGCTCTTGCTCGGCGCCGCGGCGCTCGCCGCCCGAAGCCCGGCGCTCGCCCCCGACGCCGGGCGCGGCCCGCAGAGACCCCCGAGGCCACCCGCGCGGCGCGGCGCGGCGGGGGCGGGCGGGGCCGGGCAGCTCGGGCGCTCTCGCGCTGCAGCCGCCTCCGGTGCTCGGAGCGGCGACGACACCAGACCCCCTCCGCCGCCTCCTCCTCCTCCTCCTCCTCCTCCTCCTCCTCCTCCTCCTCCTCCTCCTCCTCCTTTCGGGGAGACGGAAGACTCGGGTACGGGGGACTCGGGTTGGCCCGACGGGGCCATCGTAAAAATGACGAGGCCCAATCTGAAATTTGACGCGAGCTCCCGCTGCAGACATCCCACGAAAACCGGACCGTCAAAATCCAGGACGCGCTCGTCAAAAAAAGTCGGCAAACCCGAGTTCTGGCTTACTCGGGTCTTGCGTTCCCCCGATCCTTCTCCTCTCGCGCTGCAGTCGCCCCTCGCCAGTGCTCGGAGGGGCGACGATCCCAGGCCCCCTCGTTGTCGTGTAAACGCCGCAGCGCGAAGCGTTTCGCTCTGACTTCGGCATCTGGGGGCCCTCCCCAGGCCGCAGGGCCGTCAAGACACAACTCGGGAGGAGAAGAGCTGGTCCCAGGGAGTGGGTCGAGACCCCTCCATGGGGGTCGACGTCATGGAAAAACCACCACGTCGGGGGTCTGGGACGGGGGCGAACAGCCCAGGCGGGGGGGAGGGGGGGGGGGCCATCCACGTGACCAGGGCGCCAACGGTGCATATGTCTTCGGCGTGGCTCCCGGAAGGGTGCGTGTGGAGTGCCCGCCCCTGTGCCCCTCCTCCTCCTCCTCCTCCTCCTCCTCCTCCTCCTCCTCCTCTCCTCCTCCTCCTCCTCCTCCTCCTCCTCCTCCTCCTCCTCCTCCTCCTCCTCCTCCTCCTCCTCCTCCTCCTCCTCCTCCTCCTCCTCCCCGGCGGAGGGCCTGGAAGCACCAGCTTGACCGGCCCGGGGCAGTACAGGAACGGCTGGATGGGGAAGCAGCGCGAGGCGCACCGGCTCTGGGACTCGCGGTCGCTGCTCTCCTGCCCCCCCCCCGCTCCTCCTCTGCTCTCGGCCTTGCCATGAGAGGGATCCTCCTCCTCCTCCTCCTCCTCCTCCTCCTCCTCCTCCTCCTCCTCCTCCTCCTTGTCGAAACTGGGGGCTTCCCCCCGCTGGACGGCACTGGGGCCTGGGAGAGGCCCCGCGAGCGCGGAACGGGCGGAAATGCTGACTCAGTGCCCCTCTCCCTCCACCCCTCCCTCCATTTGCTTCGCTGCGATGTTTGCTGCACAACCTCCGCCGAATCATGAGGGCTCCAGCGTTCGCATCGGGCACCTTCCGTGAGATCTGACGCTGCAAACAAAACGCAACATCGCAAAACATCGCGACGGGAGCCCTGGACCCCATCTTTTCTGCATGATTTTTTGAGCCGGATCGATATGTGAGGGTCCCGGGGCCCGAAATTGAGCGAAAACGCCTGTTGCGAAAAAATTGCAACGCCCGTTCCCTTCGTGCCGAGCGGAGGTGCACCTCAACGCCACCCTTCCTCGGGGGGCCCATCTCTTCGACGGGGATCGGAGGGAGTGCTCCTCCTCCTCCTCCTCCTCCTTCTCCTCCTCGTCCTCCTCCTCCTCCTCCTCCTCCTCCTCCTCCTCCTCCTCCTCCTCCTCCTCCTCCAGCACACCCCCGGGGCGAAACCCTCTTGGGGGAGGTTTTCGGCCGTCTCGTGGCCCTCTGCAGGGCCAATTAGGCCGTCTTTGGGCGATCCTGGGTGCCTCTTCGACCGTCTGGGGACGTCGAAGGCCAGGGAAGGCGAGATTCCTATCACGCCAAAAACCACACTCGGATCCACGATTCGGGTCTCGCGGGACCCTCTTCGGAGGCACCCCTCGGGGCTGGCGAGGGCCCCGCGGGGGCGCGGCAGCGAGAGCGAGGCGTCCCGCGGCCCGCTCGGAGGCGGAAGGCATCGTTTCACTCGCGGCCACAACGGGGGGGGCGGGGGACGGGGGGGGGGCATAGCGTGGCGCCCCCACCCCCACCCCCCAGACTGTGGTGCCGGACGCACTGCCGCAGTGCCGGGACGCACCGAGGGCGGGAGCGTTGCGTGATGAGGGGGGGGAGGAAGGGGAGGGGGCATAGCGCGCGTTATGGCCCAGCGGGTGTGTATATATATATATACACACAATATCAGAGTGAGGGGGCCGAGCGGTCATTCATTGTCCCTGGGTGCGTTGCTGAAAAGGGAATCCTTGGTGAGAATAATGCTTGTTGTTGGTGGTGTTGTTGGTGTCATTGTTGTTGTTGGGCACCGCAGACTGCGTAGATACATGCTTGCAAGATGATAGGGCAACCAGGTATGCAAAAGATGGGGTCGCGCCTGTAGGTCAAGGGATCCTAAGAAGCCTTGGACGCAGGATGCAGTAAGAGTAGGTTGGCCGAAGAGTGCAGCAATTCTTGGGCTGCTGTCCATGATGTTTTGGCCAACCCAAACCACGCTGGCACTACAACTCCCGACCCACAACCCCCTATAAACTCCACGCCTCCCATCCCCAAGGCCAGAGTGAGGCTGGCGGTGATGCATGCTTGTGGGACGCCTGTATGCTGGCCCTGTGGGCTGGCCTCTCTGCGCCTGTGTAAAAACAGGCTGGCCAGAGATGCTAATGCAACTGAGTGTGCAAAAGATGGGATCTCGCCTGTCTGTAGGTCAGGGGGTCCCGAAACGGCCTTGCGTGCAGGATGCAGAAAGACGAGGTTGGCCGAGTAGTGTAGCAGTTGTTGGGTTGCTGTCGAGGGCTTTTTAGCTAAACCCAAACCATACAAGTACTGCATCTCCCGACCCACAACCCTCGACAACAAGAACCCCCGCCGCCCCGCCCTAAGGTCAGAGAGAGGCTGGCGGTGATGCATGATTGCCGGGTAATGATAATATGAACGCCTGTGGGCTGCCCCTGTGGGCTGGTCTGTCGCCGCCTGTTTAGATACAGGCTTGCAGGAGCTAGGGCAAATCAATATGCGAAAAAATGGGGTCTCGCCTGTAGGTCAGGGGATCCCAAAGTAAAAAGCCTTAGGTGCAGGAAGGCACGTGGAGCAAGCGTAAGCTTTGGCACTTCTTGGGCTGCTATACCCTGAGTTGTTTTGGTTTACCCCGATCCGCCTGGACCAGGGGCCACGTGCTTGTTGTAAACTCATGTCTGGTTTAGCACGAAACCATTGTGACATCGGGCGAGGCTGGCGCAGTGCTGGCTGGCCTGTACACGGCAGCGTCGTCCTATGCAATGGATGTCCTTTTAAAGAATGTTGTACAACGATGGCTGCTGACTGTGCGCTTTGCACGAAGAGTCAGGCTGAAACCCTCACATCCTCCTCACGCCTCCCTTCCACACGGTCAGAGTAGGGCTGGCCGCGATGCTTGCAAAATGTCAGGGCAACAAACACACTGTCGCGCCTGTAGGTCAAGGATCCCGAAGTAAAGGCATTTGGCGCAGGATGCAGCAAGATGAGGCTGGCCGAACAGTGTTGCAATTATTGGGTTGCTGTCCAGGGTTTTTGAGCTAACTCGAAACAGTACAAGCTTCAACTCCCGACCCACAACGCCCAGTCAAGAACGCCCTCCACCCATCCCCAAGGTCAGAATGAGGCTGGCGGTGGCGCATGGTTGCCGGGTAATAAAAAAATGCCCATAGGCTGGCCCTGGCCTGTCACAGCTTGTGCAGATAGAGGCTTGCAAGAGGCAGAAGCAAACGAGGGTATGGAGGAGTGGGGTGACGGTGCCTGTCAACGCAAGCATAGTATGGCGAAATGAGTGGCAGCGGGCGGTGCCACGTGTGCCAGCAGCATTGGAAGGAGATGGGAGTACTGTATCCGTTGTAGCTTGCCCCTAGGCCAGCCTAGTGGAGGGAGGGAGGGAAGGTAAGTTGTCCACGTTCTGCGGTAATCGAAGCACAAGTGGCACCTGTGGTCGAAGTCGTGGTATTGCCTCGTATGATACCGCTGTTGTGAATTGTCGTATGCTGTAGATCGCTCATGCATTGCTGTTGTTGTCGTGTCGGTTGACCTGCGGCATGGGTTTCGGAGCTTAGGCGTGGCATTGCCTTGTACGGTGGTGCTTCCTTGAAGGGTGCGTCTTGGTGGCTGCTGCGCGTGCGGAGGCTGGCGAGGTATTGATCGTACCGCGTATGGTGCGAGCGAAATGTGCCGATGTACTCGTGGAAGCGCGGGTCCCCAGTCTTGTGTACGAAGATGCGTCCGCGGCTGTTCGTCACATTGTGCTGCACATAGATAGCGTGTACAGGAGGACTCCTGGCGTACTTGAGCTGGAAGTATATCTGTAAGGTGGCGTATGTCTGCGGCGCGAGGCGGTGCATCGGTACCTCTTGTAGCCATCGCTGCGTCAGAATGTCCTCGTATGGCGGGCAGGCGATGGGTAGTTTGAGTATTGGAGGTGGTGGGTGCACTGGTATGGCGGCCTTTGCTGTAGGTGACCGTGTGGTAATAGCCTTGGTCTGTGGCATTGCAGGTGTGTCTGCGGTTGAGCTGTGGATGGTGTGGATGGCCTTCGTAAGGGGCGGTGGTTTGTTGATGAAGTAAGTGGATGGTACTGGTGGTGTTTTTTTGCCTGGTGGTGTATGATTGGTCGGAGGTGGTGCAGGAGGCTCTGCGTGCATGTGGGTGTTCTCGTTGTTGATTGCTCTCCTCCTCCTCCTCCTCCTCCTCCTCCTCCTCCTCCTCCTCCCCTCCTTCTCCTCCTGATCCTCCCCCTCCTCTCCTCCTCCTCCTCCTCCTCCTCCTCCTCCTCTCCTCCTCCTCCCTCCTCCTCCTCCTCCCTCCTCCTCCTCCTCCTCCTCCTCCTCCTCTTCCTCCTCCTCCTCCTCCTCCTCCTCCTCCTTCTCCTCCTCCTCCTGATCCTCCCCCTGTGCCGGGCCCGCCGCTCCCATCCTCATCTTGCGGAGGCTGCTCGGGGTCCCTGCCCGACATGGCGCCCGGCCAGCCCCTGGCGGGGTCCTACAGACCCCGAGGGGCTCGGCTCCGCACGGGAAGGCGGACGAGGGGGGAGGGGGAGGGGCGAAGTGCGCGTCGGCCTCGCGCTCTGCGCGCCGTTGCCATCGTCGTAGTGGGTAGGGGAGGGGGGGGGAGGGGAGGGGGAGGGGAGGGGGGAGGGGAGGGGGAGGAGAGAGGAGGAGAGGAGGAGGAGAGGAGAGGAGGAGGAGGAGGAGGGGGGGGGGGGAGGGGGGATCCGGAGAGCAGAGCCAGGACGCATCCACGGTGCTGCACCGCGCCCTCCCGTCCCAGGTCCCAGGCCTCGCGTCCTCTTCGGCACGCCCTGTGGCTGCGACCAATCGCCTCCTGGAGAGGCGGGCGTCCTATTGGGCCGACCTACCAGACCACCCCAACCCAAGACCGAAGACCCGAACTTCGGGTTGGGGGGGATATGGGCTCCATATGTGCTTTTTCGATGTTCCAGGACCCCCCCCCCACTAGAAATCGAGGGTAAATCTGAGCCTTCGGGTTGGGTTGGGGTGCGTTGGTGGGTGGTGACTATGGGCCTGCCAATTCAAGCAGCGAGGGCCCGCCCAGTTTTGACGGGAGCCGCCCTTCACACTGCAGGAAGGCAGAGGAAGTTGAACCCAACAATTCTCAGGGGCCGCCCTCACTCCGTCGACCTCTTGCGCAGTGAGCGCCTGGCCATCAGAGATAAAGAAATCTCAGGCGACGGCCCCCTTCCGAAAAGGAACCGCCCTCCGTCACTGGTAACTGTTCTACGAGTGGGAACCTGATAGCCTGTGAAGACGTCTCAGGCGAAACGCCCTGCCTGCCCTACCAACACTTCTGGTGCTACGACGAGGAAGGGTCATTCGAAAGGAAGGGTGGCTGGGGCGGGGAGGAGAGGGAACGGGGGGAGGAGGAGGGAAAGCGGCAGGGGGGCTTACCTGTGTATTCGGAATGCCTTCGTGTCTTAAATATCAGAAATGGCATGGTCCTGGCGCTTAAACATCGTCAACAAATCAAGAAACGCATTCGGTTCCAGAAGCTGTGTGCCGTGACTGACGGCTCCGGCAATTGGCGTCATGCTGGACAAGTTATTGTGTGCGTATCCTGCCATCTGAAAGGCCATCCAGCAGGTTTTGCATAACGGATGACCGTTGGGCAGTGCCCATCGCAGATGAGCTTGTCCACTTCAGATTCGCGTGGGCATCCCGCTTCAGACAGTAAGGCAGTCAACTGATCACAGAAGAGGGAAAGGGAAAAGAGGGGGAGGAAAGGAAGGAAAGGGATGGAGACGGGAGATCACAAGGGGAGCGGGAGGAGGGGATGAAGGCTGAGGTAGCAGATGCAGGAGTATATGCAAGCTTGCCCGCAGATAGGGTCACGAGTTGAAACAGAGTAGTGTTATGAAAAGACTGGAGGGTGTAGGATGATCGGTGTGAGCATTGGGCAAGTCAATACGCTCACGCTGATAACACCAGGCGACTGATACCAATTCATAGAGGGTGGTTCGTCCGTGTTCATTCAGTTCAGGTAGGCGGGGAAATTCTGAATAACATGATCAGGGCAAGAAAGAGAAAGCAAGGGCAATACAGCACAGAAACATATTTCTTACAGGATCAAAACAAAAGTTGCGACAATCAACTGGGAAAAGGGAAGCGGACCCCCCCCAGGAAGCGAATGACGGACGACGCAAGCTGCACAATGCGCAGCAAGAACTGACGTGGCATTGGTCACTGACGCCTCGAAGGCCGTTCGACACTGAACGATCGCAGCCTCTCGGTAACGCAAATCGCTCGGCATCGGCAGGTTCCGTGCCTCTGGCGGCAGTCACCCGTGGACACGCTCGTTGGGGTCGCCGCCGCGTCGAAACACTCTCATTCACTCTCTCTCTCTCTCTCTCTCTCTCTCTCTCACGCACACACGCCGCTGCTTTTGTTGTCGCCGTTCAGCCGGCCGTAGGAAGCGCCATCAGCGCACGGGCCCCCCAGCGCCCCCCGCGGCCCCTCCTGGATGGGCTCGAAACGCGCGACGCACAGGGGATTGGCGCGGGGGTCAGGGGGGCAGTCTCGGGACTGTCGCTGGCGGACCCCCTCGCCGTCGCCCAAGCGCTGTCGTCGGCAGACGAAAAGGCTGGGAGCGCTCATCATTCCAGGCAGGAGATGGCCGCCTCCCTCAGCGTCCAACATGTCCAACCCATGCATTCGTCAAAGTTTAACTCCAACGGACGCATCTCCAACCTTGCGGGTCCTGATACGAACCAGGGTGACGACTTACCGCCCTCGGGACGCTCGTCGGCCTCGGGGGGGGGCTCGGACCAGGGCAACCGGGCGGGGCGGCCAAAACCTGCTCATGCTCCGCGGGGGCGGCGCCAGGTGCCGACTCCCGCGCAAGAACGCCGCGCCCCGATTCGAATCGATTCAGAGACCCCAGGGGCGACACTGCCGAACTCTGAACAACATGCTGCTGCTGGAGAGTTCCTCCTGCAGGCGGCAAGAGGCCAAAGCAGAGGGGCGGGCAGGCAGGCGCGCAACAACATCACCTGGGCGTGAGAGGCCCAAGCCGACACCGAGGGGCGTGAGCTGCCCCGCGCACGTCGACATGGCCTCCAATACAGCAGAAACCAAGTCATATACAGCGGGGGCCCGACCACAAGAAACCTTCCACGAGAAGAACAACCCTGAGACCTCAGGACGTCAATTGATTTTTGGTGGAACGTCACGAATTCCACAGCAAAACCGCCCAAACCAAAGAAACCCAGGGCAGCCGGGAGGCAACTAAGGCGTTTCTTGGCACGGGTCTCCACTGTAAGGATAACCGAGCCGTGTGAATGGGAAGCAACCGCCGAACGGCTGCGCGCGCAGAACGCAAGGGCGCGCACGACCGACCACCACACACGCAGAGGCCCGCAGGAACGGCCGGGAGGCAGTGCGGCTGAAGTGGCCCGAGAGTGCGTGGGCACACCACACCACACCACACACACGCACACACACTTTGGCTCACACGATCGCATTTGTTTAGCTGCCCCCCCCGGCCTCCCCTTGCTAGACATAGATGAGCGCCATAGCTGCTGATGGCCCCTCCCTTGTGGCGGCGGCTGCGCAAGCGGCGATCCAGGAGCACGCGCCGAAGCGCACTGTTGCTGCTGCGGCTGCAGCGGTTGCGGGCACTGTGATGTCTGCGGCCGTGCGGCCCTCCTCTGCGCCAGCGACTCTGCGCAAGGAGCGAGCTCATGATCCACAGGGCAAAGCTGAAGACCCCGATGATCCTGCTCAATTGTTGGAGAAACTTAGAGCTGTGCGTCGAACCCAACGTTCACGAAAGAGGGAGAAGCGCCGGACGGCCAAGCAGGCCATGATGGCCACAGATGGTCCAGCCTCTCCTCTTCCTCCTGATGGCCTTCAGCCTCGAGTTGCGACCATTCCACATCTATCAGGTGCAGCCGGCCAAAGCGCAGACCTCGGGGGAAGTCTTGCTGCAGAACCCGCTCTGGCACCTGCTCTACGTCCGGACCGCTCTCGTTCACCCCCGCATCCCGGACGAACCACCTCTGATCAGCACGCCGCCGGTTTAGCCCCGCCTTCCGTAGCGGGCACACTGCGACGAGCTGAGACAGCAGATGAGGCGAGTTCTTGCCACACTCTGGGGAGGTCTCTTCCAGCGTCATCTGTTCCAGACCCAGATCATTCCCAATATCGGGAGGATCCGAAAGGCGTTTCGGCTGGGAAGCCGTCCTTTGGCCGTGGTGAAGGCGCCGGCGGTTCTAAAGCCAGTCGACCTGAGCCTTACACGGGACAGAGAAGGAAATAGCCTGCTTTCTTCTCCGTTTGCGCGGTAGCCATCCATGTTGCCGCTCCCTTACGCGTTCATGTATCCAGTTGGGTGGCTGCATACGTCGAGCATTATGCACACTTCTTGAATCTAGTACTACAAGTTCTTGAGGCAGTACATCTTCTGAAGGGTGTTGTTGTTTTCCTCTGCGGTTTCGTATTCCGAATGCGAGCTCCTCTTTGGCAGCGTTTGGCTGCTACAGGCGTCAATTTGCCTCACTCGTTTGTTTTTCCAAAGGTCAGGCAGCCCCTGACTATATCCATACACACACATGCACACACACACACACTTGTTTGAGCGGCGCGGTCGGGCGCAGCGCCACGCCGGATGAAGTGCAAACAAAAACACACACACACACACGCACGAACGCACAGACACACACACACACACACACACACACATACATACATACACACACACAAGCACACACACACACACACACACACACACGCACGCACGAGGCGCAAGGGCAGGGGTGGGTGCGCAGGGGCATGACAACGCGACCAGGGCGGCGGAGCGCCGGAGTCCCCAGGGGGGGCGCAGGGGCGCCGAGGAGAAGGAGATGATGATGATGATGATGATGATGATGATGATGATGATGATGAGTATGGTGATGATGATGACGATGATCATGATCATGAGAATGGTGATGATGATGATGGTGATGAAGATGATGGTGATGATGATCATGATGATGATGGTGATGATGGTGGTGATAGTGATGATGGTGATGATGATGGTGATGATGGTGATGTTGATTATGCTGATGATGGTGATGATGATGGTGGTGATGATGATGGTGGTGATGGTGATGATGATGATGATGGTGATAATGATGATGGTAATGATGATGCTGATGGTGATTATGATGATGGTGATGATGACTATGATGATGATTATGATGATGATGATGATGATGATGATGATGATGATGGTGATGGTGATGGTGATGGTGATGATGATGACGATGATGATAACGATGATGATAATGATGATGGTGATGATGATGGTAATGATGATGATGATGGTGATGATGATGGTGATGATGCTGGCGATCATGATGATGATGATGGTGATGATGATGATGATGGTGATGATGGTGATGGCGATGATGATGATGATGATGATAATGGTGATGATGATGATGATGGTGATGGTGATGATGATAATGGTGATGGTGATGGTAATGATGATGATGATGATGATGATGGT